TGACAGAAGCCCAGCGCAGAGAGCTGGGAGCCTCACTGTACATTGGCTGGGGAGCTGCTGGTTTGCTGATCCTAGGTGGTGGCCTGCTGTGTACCTCATGCCCCCCGAAGGAAGACAAGGGCTACAATGTTAAGTACTCCCAGCCAAGATCGACGGCTGATAGCAAGGCATATGTTTAAGAGTGGTGATCAACGCTGGAAATGGAAATGACAACCATCAATCGCTTCATTTTTGGCGTTTCCTTTGTCATTCACGTTTTGTTTTTGTACCAAGTTAAAAACTATTAAAGTATGGACAAATGGACATTGCGTGGACTCATAAGCCGAGTTCTGTAAAATGGCAAAAATAAGCGTTTTCCACAGTCGAAGGGACAATTGTCACTGAAGAGTGAGAGAGTGAGAGACTTAACTGCAAAAGTCTGTTACATGTACGGGGGCGTAGATGTAAAATATAATCCCTGACCTATATGTATATAGTATACATGTATTTCTATAGTACTGTGGCTTGTTATAAAGAAATGGTGGCTGCCTTTCTTAGATTTCCACTAGAGACAAAAATAGTACCGCTCGCTCCCTTAGAATATACGCAAAACCTTGATCGGCTCCTTAATGTATGTATGGCATGCAAGTAAATTGTATTTTTGCTTAAAAATCCAAGTGCGGGAATGAAACAAATCAGATATATTTCCAAAGTTGTAGGCTTGAATTACAATAAATATTTTGAAAATCATATTAACAGTGTGTGAGTGATCAATTCGCATTACGTGTGAAAGCCTGGGTTAAAATTAGTGTTACATTTCCATTTGTCTGTTCAGTTATTTTAAAAACTGGGTTATTCCCTGCCTGATAGGATCCTGACCCCCATGAATATGTTTTCGTTATTTTATTGTGAAATATAGTAATTTTATAAAAATTCCTACTTCGAGGATTGGCACTCCAGCCACTGTAAAAAATTCATACTGGACCATTCGGACTGGTGTGGTGCTGAGATCAGGGGCGTCAGAAGCATTTTGAATGTGGGGGGGACACACTGGCGGGGGGTCCCCCAGAAATTCTTTAATGAATTAGATGCCATTTCTTGCAAAACCCGGAGTGGTCTTTCAGTGGTTTGTGTATTCTCATATCGGAATAGATTCTTTCGCAAAGAAATTGAAACAGCGCTGGGTGAATTAATATTTTATGCTAAATGTGGGGGGAGGGGTCCAAACGAATAATTAGGTTTTTGCTTCCCGTCCCATCCCATTCGCGTTGGAGGGTTTCCGTTCCCATCCAATTTAACCGCCAAATTTTCAAAACCCATTCCCATCCCGTTCAGTCCCGTGGGATGTCATTCCCGTACCGTCCCATTCCCGTACCGTCCCATTCCCGTCAAATTTCAAAAAATCTTCTACCGCTCCCGTGTTTTTCATATATTTCCGTTAGCGCTTGTTTTCCGCGACCAGA